CATTGTTGTAGGGAGTGGGTGCCGTATGCGACAAACTTGCTGGCAAGGTTTATTGTGAAGCATGAAGAACTGTATGGTCTAAAGGAAATGGTGTTTGACCAAATTACGGCCCATTCTATCTTTCGCGGTACGGGAGAGGACAATTACAAACTGCCGTTTGTAGACTCTTCTATATACGCCGTCGTCTCAGGTAGGCCATAATCTATTCCGGTGTGACCTTGAATACAGAGGCTGGCCTTCGGTGGTGTAATGTACACCACGTAGACTGGGGCAATGTAAGAAATAAATTTCAACAAAGCTCTCACTATCGATTGATGTGAACGATGTACATAGTGCCCAAGCGCCGCCGCCAAAATGTTGAATTCACTTGAAAATCTACTTTAAAATGCGGTACTTTATGCTCACACTACGCCCATCACCAATTATAAAAACTTTGTTAACAATTTTTATTACTTTCAGCCTTGCAGATTACAATCAAGGAGATCGTGATAGGCCAGGACCTTCAATTAGCAATCCATACCACTCCCAAATGAACGTTCTAAGTCCGGCTTATAGTCAGAATTGTAAGCCACCGAACATTCCACCTTTTTGCTTTCTCTGGAGTCATATATTGTTGTACACCCATTGAACATTACCATGCTACTTTTTAGCGATTACTGTAAAGTCATATATTTATATCCCCAGCTACAAATACTGCGCTAATCTTCTACTGCGCTTCGAAAAAAGGTGACTATAGCGAGGAAGGAGGTACCCCCTGTAAGGCTGAAAATTAAGACTCTAGATTGTAGAGTGATTTTAGAGCTCGATTCGCATTCCACATGAAGGACAAGTTGAATAAGAATCCAACACTATATTGTAAATTTGCAGCATACGAATTGAATTTGATTCCACCACTGCTTGCTATTAGGGGAGCTATCCTGCCACTGCAGTTACTTTTACAAGCAGTTTACCAAATGGCAGCGTTTAATGAACAGTACGATCGTGCGCGTTAATTATATTGTTGCACATTTTGTCGTTCAACTGCACAAGCACGGCATAGGTGAAAGTGGTCAGAATGCTAACTGTTTACTAGGTTTCGGAAAAAAATTACCGCCGAAGTATTGGTTGAATCGTGCAGGATTTATAAAAATTTGCGACTCAACATGATTGTACGGCGTCACGCTCGACGACGTGCTCTCTCCCTGTACGAGCACCTATCAAGTAAATCGAACGAAATACAGAAGACGGCAAAACGCTGCATTAAAATAAACAGGTTAAAGTCATTTTCCGATGTTAGTGATTTTACTTTAAAAAGGACCAAAATATAATTTAATGGAAAATTTTCGTATCCTAAAATAATCTAATTAAATTAGTTTAAGTGAGTTACTTAGAGGGCATATAGTTGTGGCAATAATTGGATAGCCGAAAATTGGTCTTTTGGTGATCGGAAGTCAGATATTCTGTCAGTACATTTTCGGCTTTTTTGTTGCCGTGCACCAACGTTGATCGCCGCCTTCACCTCCATTTTCTTCCAATATGGTCGCTTGTTCGAAATGAAAACAGAGCAGGGTTAGTATTCAGCAGTCTAAGGGACACAATGAAGCAGCAAACACAATCTACCGGGGAATAAATGGTAGCATACTGCATATATCAGCCACACAGTATAACTGACTTTTAATGTTGAGCTTAAATTGGTGGCTGTCGTTAGTCTACCGGTTCCTATACGCAGGGCTGTTGCCCCCATCTTTCCCTCAGGGAATTGTGAGCTGCTTATTCATAAGCCAATGCGTTCACGAGTGCAACAATGTCGTGGACGGTACCTGCTCTGTGGGTGGTCCCTATTAGTCTGGAAACCTTCGTTCTGTCGATCGGGCACGATCTATTTCTCGAGGTCAGATTGCTGCTTCCAAACCTCTAGCTGAGGGAATTCAGCCATGGATCGCTGCAGGACATTTTAGTTTTAGTCCTAAATGCTTGCTCGTACTCCAGTCGGTCGAAGATTTCTTAGATGTAAGCTTGAGGCGCCTGCAATCGGCTGCAGCAACCTGGTGCCCCTGAGAAGCTGTCAGATACGGTCACCGATTTCAATCCGGAATAGGACCGACGTAAGTTCTGCTAAACAGTCAAGGCCGGATACCTTGTCATCCAGACGGGCCGAGGTATTATCTCCGTGTGACTGCAAGCGTGCAGTAGCAAAGCCTCTGTAACTAGAGGTTATTTTAATAGGGAATACAACGTGTAATATTTTAATACGTGTGTAACTGCACAATAGAAGAATGAGGATTTATACGGAGTCTAGTCGATGGCTTGGCCAATCCTCATTAGTGTTTGCTTTTATGCTGTTGGTGTTTTCTGGTTCTAAAATACCGTCTCCACTGAACTAATGCTTGATCGACCGTGTTAATGAGCTGAAAGAAATCCTAGCCGGTGGTGCATTGGTCCGGCATTTAGATGTCTTTGTGGAAATAGACCCGGTCAATATCACACAATGCTCCTTCTCAGGCTGATGTTCGTAAATCGGATACGGCAGGTACGTCATTTCTTATGTGATTAAAGTCGCCGCAGATTTTTTTATAGGGCAAAATTCATTTCAGAATATCTGACATTTCACGTGTGTGATGGATGCCTACGACGTGGAGCGAGCACCACACCCCGGAAGCAGGTCGCCTTTCGAAGCCTTCCCCACCAATCTGACTGCCTGCTTATCAACTGTCTATATACATCCCGCTTGTGTGGGTTTTATACGCACATTGCTACATGTGTGCTTCATTTAACCTGGCAAATTGCCACTTAACCGGACGCATCTGTTAGAAACTGCGCCAGATGTTTATCGGTGGGCTTTTCGACGAAGTTTCGGAGTTTGGAATTTCGAAAAAGTGCCTCATACTGATCATCTGTACATTAATTGACTTTATATTTTTTATCATCTTTTTAATAACGTTAGCTATAAGCACCGTACACAACTGACTCCTATAGTACATATATTTTGCGAACCTATCTTGAGATTCTGTCTGAATTTTGCTAACCAATTTCCTTTCGAATTTTTCTGCCTTCTAACATGCTACCGTTATTGTGTGCAGTTGGTAACACGCTAGCGCTGACTTAATCAATTTTGAAGTGCTCGACAACTTTTCAACACTGCGTTCTGGCTCGTTTTTGTAAACGGTTGGCAGTCGTATTAAATGGCCTACTGACGTAGCCGTGCAGAACTACAGATAGTTTTAAAAGGTCATCCCCTTACTGTTTAGGATCGAGGCTGGTATTATGTGGTATTTTAAACTTCCCGTGTTTCTACCACCATTTTCCAGTGTGCTTTTCTTTTGCCAACCGAATCTCCCGATAAAGTCATTTTTTTATCGGGAATAGACTATATGTTGTAACGTTAATTTTAGCTAAAAAGTTGACCGTCGTTAATTCTGAACTCCGAAGATTTTTCTCTGCTAGCATGGCAGCTCCCGCCTCTACGACAGTACTACAATTCAAAAATTTAGCGGGAAGGATCCCATGGGTCGCACATCAATTTAACAAAACAATTCTAAACGAATTAGGTTTTAACTAAGTCAAAGTACATCAAAAGTATACCTTGAGGGGAAATGGGTGTTGTAGAATAGTATTATAGTGGGATGAGTATTCGCTAAGACGGGTATTTTGAAAGAAAATAATGAAAGATGACAGTCCGACCGTCGATTCCGACGACGTACGCAGTGTCATCCACCGTGTGGTGGTACAGGGATGATGACTTGCCCGTGGAATAGCTTTATGTGACAGCAGAATCGTGCAGCATCTACCACACCCTCTCTTAACTCATTTGCGTCCAGTGTCAAGGCAGATGTTGGATAGGATGCGGGTGGCTGGCGCGACGCGAGCTTGCACCTACGCGTGCCACTACGCACCTCTTCCTTGTTCGATATTTGTTATGGGAGCTCAACCTGAATACTGCCGTGACCTGATCTGCCCCCCTATTAGTCCAGCGCGTATAATTGGCATGTTACAGGGTATAATGTCACACAGACTCAAATCGTATTAGCTGGGATACGAGTTGTTGCTTCA